TCCAGATATTTTGTAAATATAGTACAAGTTTATATACAATTATAATTTATCTTTAAATTTGCTTGAAAAATTAAATTGATTTTTTTTTTTTGCTTTATTAGGTGTTATTCAGTTCTAATTGAAGATATTCAGAAAAAAATTAAAGAAATGGATGATTCAGAACATGCAACGTTTATTTCTGGGAAAGTCAGAGACCTTGTTAAAGTTCCTGAAAAATGTGATTTGGACCAAATCAAAGATAAAATTGAAGAAATTGAAAAACATATGAATAGTAATTTTGAAAAATTATTAGCTGAATTTAAATCAATCAAAAAATAATATTAGTAGTATTAGGGTATTTGGACGAGAAATTCCGATTTGTATTTTTTATTTTAACATTAAATAAAGGAAATAGATTTTATTTAAATTTTTAAAATTAGAACAATTAAAAAAGTTATTATCAATGAATTTCCCCAACATACACTAAAAATACAGGAGTCTATAGAGGTTCCGTATTCCGTACATCTGCGTCTCTGTAGTAAAAAAAATGCTCTGTATGAAACAAAAATATGGAATCGAAGATCATACAGACTGTCCCCCCACCAACCAACTTTTCAGAAATTCACAAGTTCCGTTCGTACAAAATTAAAAAATATAAATAAAAAATATACGGAGCAAAAAAAAATATTAATATTGTACGGAATCTCTACTGACTGAAATTTCTATCATTTTATCATCAAAAAAAAAAAAAAAGATCACCCAATTTTAGCAAAAGTTTAGATTCTGGTAGAAGTTTAAGTATTAGTATCAGTTTCGGGAATTAAAAATGGTAGCTTCAATATTTGCCATTTATGGTACTGTTTTCTCTCCTGCTTTTGAATGGGGACCTGGCATATCGAAATGGTCCATAAGGGTGATTATTTGTAAATGGCTACGAAAATCATCAGAAAGATTATATGTGTATATGCATATGGTTTTTTATCGTTTCCTGGTGTATTAGATCTTAGGAACGACTGGTGGATGTTTTGGCTGGAAGAAGATGGAACGTGTCGAGGTTAATATTTTATTGTTTAATCGTAATAAGACCATGCATAATGGGTGAAAATGATGTTGTTTGTACGGAAAGAGGATGTCCACGATGTTATGTCATAGGAAAAAATTTGGCATCATAAACTCGGAATGGCTGCAGAAGTTCTCAAAAGCATTAATTACAAAACAGTGAATCTAAATTATTTAATTGCTGATCCTTTTATAAACGGCAGAAAAATACTATTAAATTTTGGGGAAAAAATTTGACGATCTACTATG